CCCATTCGGCCTTCGGCTTCATGGGCTATTGACTCAGAGCCCATTCGGGCTCGAGGAATAATTGTTAAATATTTTTTCGAACGTGCTGGAACATAGCCGCTGCATGTATAAGCGCATATCTCAAGTCATTAATACTGCATGCTCCCGGAGACATCAAAGTAATTTATGGGTTTCCATCTTCTTTTTAACTTGCGCTTTTTATGCGCGATGAAGTTTGATAATCAGGTATTAACAATTTAAATAACCACCGCTCAATCCACCGCTCTGATCATTAAAACGATCGAATAAAGCTCTACCATAAAATTATTCATAAGTTTCAAAAAACTGTCTTGTTTCTCTGACAACCAAAGCATGTTTATCAAGTGATTACCCTTGAATAGTAAACCATTAAATTGATATTGAATACCTTTTTAGTCCCTGGGGGTGGGGTAGGAGGGTACTCCCATAAATTTGGATACAGCAATATAGATGTACTGTACCACCAAGGGTCTAAAACCCTGACCCTATTTAAGAATGAGACAAACGAAAATTAATACCCTATTTAAGACCCCAAACCAAAACAAGACACCCCATTCAGAGGAAAAACAAAAACAAGCAATAGGAATAGACACACGTTATTGACAATTAACATTTACATGAAGTACATTTCCGCCCACAAATAGCACGTGCTAGTCGAGGCGGGCGGAGATACAGGGATACAACCAGGGCGGATAAAGGTTGGGCGGTGAAACGAGCGCTCCGCTCTTCATTTAATGTGTGATGCGGAGTAGGACTGGCACGAGCGCTCTTTCCGCGCTTCCGGTGCGCTTCAAGGCCGGCGAAATTTTCATTTTTTCCAAACCGGAAATCCTATTTTCTTTCTGTAATTTCAGGCTACAATGTTAAATAGATAAATTCGTTTCATAACAATATCAATAAAAAGTTTCATATGTTTGTGTCTGTACGTCTATAAGTCAAACTTGTTGGTCGTATAATACCAAAATTTGAGTTTAATTTGAAAGTGTTGAATACCTCCTCCTTCCACTAAATATCACCTAATCGTCTTTCGTCGTTTCGTTTGCAAAAGCTTAACACTTCTTAACCTCAATTTTTACATATGTTAAAGGGGGATAAATTTTATATAATATAACAAAAAATTAGATTGATATATATTGATATAGTGGCGTTGTACTTCTTCAAACTTTGCTTCTCGGGTGCAACGCGCCGTGGCGATTCGCGCAATGCGTTGCAAATTCGGCAACCCCATGTAAACAAAATTTATTGAGGTTAGTTGTAAGGTTTTTTCTCCGTTTTTCTCTCTAAAACAAAACAAGGTAAACAGTAAAAACTGAGGGGAAACTAATTTTGAAGTTTCGAAGAAACAGAAAGACGTATGAGATGTTTTTTTTCAAAATTAAAAAGAAGGATGACGGTGATTGAAATTAGCATAATTTCACCTTGCACGAGCTGCACGCATTTATAAAATACACGTCATCTAGTTTCATGACATGGATGAGATTTTCCTTCGTGTTTTAGACAGTACTTAGTTGTTTTTTGTTTTGGAATAACATCGACATTGGCGACTAGCAGAACGAAATAATTCAGTGGTAAAGTCATGAAAGTAGTAAAAGAAACCCTTCGAAAGAGATGTTTGTCTACTCCAACTAAACCAATAACTAAACCTCCCGCAAAAAATGGCAACATTTGCCTCTCGGAGACAGCGTACTAGCACAAAGGAACGAGGAAGAAGTGCAAGAAAACAAATCAAGCCGCCATAATTCAGTGACAGCGGCGGTGTCTAATGTACAAACCACATTGCAAGCCGTGACCGAAGTCGAAAACAAGCGAAATTTCTAAGTAGAGTCCCAGTCCGCTGCATCACAGCTTTTTGCTCGGACGCGCTCGTTTCACCGCCCAACCTTTATCCGCCCTGGATACAACCAGGGCGGATAAAGGAACACCGCGGCAAAACGTCTACGCATGCGCCAGGATGAACATTTCCGGTCTCTTTTTCAGTCACACTTTCCAGTCAGATCAAAGTCTCCCGCGCGCGTTCGGATTCATTCTGTGTGCAGCTTGTGGTTCAGTTCTTCTGCTTCATGCTGCTCGTGTTTTGACTATTTTGTAGTTATTGAAATTGCTTTTATGGATAACCAGGCACAGATCACTGAAACAATTAGTCGATTAGATTCAGAAAAGGTAAGGTGATAATAACTCAGAGTGTGTAATTTTGACTAGAGCGTCAGGTAAACTGATTTTCATTCACGAAAACAAAGTTTTTGACTGTTATTTTTCACTTAACCTGGCTGAAACTAAGACATAAAAAGTTATCATTGCAAGCTTGCGTATTTTAGTTCTAATTTTCAGTTCTCCAGTTTCTCAGTCTACATGTCTTAAAGCCGATTCGAGCTTTATTTGGGAAACCACAACACACAATCGCTTTTTTATTTTTTTTTTTCACCAGTGAGTTTTACCTTGTTTTGAAACGAAACTCCTCTGAGTTGATTGCCATGAAACATAAGCTTAATTATACTGTTGAGGTTGGCAGCAAGTTGACAACTCTATTTACTTTTTCATTCTCAGAATCAGAGAGCGAAAGCTGGTTCGATGGCTTTTAGAAGTCGAACTTTTCATGCCATGTATTTAGCAGATGGAAGTTTCGTGTTTGCATGAGACGCAGCCGAGCCACACAGTCTGAAATTATTGAAGTCTTCAACTAAAGAACAACCATGTAAAAGAATTAAATAGGCATTTTCATGAATGAAAGTCATTTATAGGCATGTTTAGTTTCCCGGCACTGAAAACTCCGAGTGTTCGTGACTGCAGTCGTCAAAGTCGAAGTTGTTATTAAATCTCGCCCATCTTTTGTTTTGAGTTCTTGTTTTCTCTGATAATAAAAAAGTTATTAAACGGACTAAAATTTTAATTCCTGGTTTTAGTGTTATTGATAATGATGACGCCTTTATTTGGTTTCTTTCATAAGTATTGTTATTCTTTTCTTAGTTGTCGCCTTCTCCCAAATTAACTTATGCCAAACCAGAAGCATGCAAGAAAGCCAGTAAAAACAAAGTCGTCATGTCGAGCGCTCGCGACCTGCAAACTTTAAACATCATTTTCACCGTTGGTGCAAACAGATAACCATGTGGTGCAAAAGTTTGACACTAGAAAAATATGTAAGCTTTCGAATGAAGTGATTTTTTTCGCCCCCTTTTTTGTCTGTTTCGCCCTTTTTGCTTTTAAACTTGGTACGACGGCGATGTTATGCTTACGCAATTGGTTTATATACTAGACCGGAAATAAAAAGCTGACCGGATGTCAAATTTTGTGCTCATGCGCATTGCGTTTTGCCACGGTGTTGGATAAAGGTTGGGCGGTGAAACGAGCGCGTCCGGGCAAAAAGGTGTGATGCAGTGGACTGGGACTCTGCTTAGAAATGTCGCTTGCTTTCGACTTCGGTCAGGGCTTGCGATGTGGTTTGTCCATTATATTAGATACTGACGCTATCACTGAATTATGGTGGCTTGATTTGTTTCCTTGCACTTCTTCCTCGTTCCTTTGTGCTGGTACGCTGTCTCCGAGAGGCAAATGTTGCTATTTTTTGCGGGAGGTTTAGTTAGAGAAGACAAACATCTCTTTCAAAGGGTTTCTCTAATTACTTCCATGACTCTACCACTGAATTATATTTTCGTTCTACTACTCGCCAATGCCGATGTTATTCCAAAACAAAAAAAACTAAGTACTGTCTAAAACACGAAGGAAAATCTCATCCATGGCAAAGATCGTGTTTCATAACTAGATGACGTGTATTTTATAAATGCGTGCAGCTCGTGCAAGGTGAAATTATGCTAATTTCAATCACCATCATCCTTCTTTTTAATTTTGAATAAAACATCTCATACGTCTTTCTGTTTCTTCGAAACTTCAAAATTAGTTTCCCCTCAGTTTTTACTGTTTACCTTGTTTTTGTTTTGGAGAGAAAAACGGAGAAAAAACCATACAACTAACCTCAATAAATTTTGTTTACATGCGGTTGCCGGATTTGCGACGCATTGCGCGCCATGGCGCGTTGCACCCGAGAAGCAAAGTTTGAAGCAGTACAACGCCACTATATCAAAATATATCAATCTAATTTTTTGTTATGTTAAATAAAATTTATCCCCCTTTAACATATGTAAAAATTGAGGTTAAGAAGTGTTAAGCTTTTGCAAACGAAACGGCGAAAGACGATTAGGTGATATTTAGTGGAAGGAGAAGGTATTCAACACTTTCAAATTAAACTCAAATTTTTTGCATCATACGACCAACAAGTTTGACTTATAGGCATACAGACACAAAAATATGAAACTGTTTATTAATACTGTTATGAAACGAATTTATCTATTTAACATTGTAGCCTGAAATTGCAGAAAGAAAATAAGATTTCCGGTTTGCAAAAAGGAAAATTTCGCCGGCATTCAGCGCACCGGAAGAGCGGAAAGAGCGCTCGTGCCAGTCCTACTCCGCATCACACATTAAATGAAGAGCGGAGCGCTCGTTTCACCGCCCAACCTTTATCCGCCCTGGATACAACAAATAGATAAAATATGCCGTGAAAAAAGAGAAAGAAAACTAAATCAAAACGACCAAAGAAAAGAAAAAAGTTTCCTCACGCGGGAGTCGAACCCGGACTATTAATACGTTAGGTCATCGCCTTACCTGTTTCTCCATGACACTAGGAAATAAACGCTAGTGCGAAATTAATTTTGTTTAATTTTTCTGCCGATAGACGCTAATGAATCTGGTAGGGCTGTATTTATCAAGACTTCAAAAATATATTCGAGGAAAATAAGCAGGGTTTTGGCGGTAAAAGCCATTATACTTTAACTCATTTCGTCGCATAGTGAAGAACATGTGGCTGACAAAACCATCTCGAAGTATCTTGCTGACGGAAGAAATATTCTCAGATCAGAGACATATTTTTCTCCAAACTAGAAACTAAAATACCTGACTTCAAATCACTTTCACGCGATATTTTAATATCTCTTCTTATAAATTCTTCTGATTATTTAATTAACTGTTAATTAGTTTCATTTATCTCGCAATGCTTTGAATTAAGAACCAAATTTATATCAATAGCTATCAATGAATGAATGAAAGAGAACTGTAACGTTTTGTAATGTTTTGCACGTACTAATTAGTTGAATTAGTACTTAAATTTAGACTAATAGGTTTTGCAATACTGTAACTCCTTTATGGTCATGCAAATAAAGCATTTGGCGTTGGTAACATCCAACAAAGTTCGGAGTTGATAGCCAACAATGTTGCGTCCGTTTGCACATAGCTTATAAGCAAAAGCCATAGTTTGTTACAGTGATATGCTGCATTTTTGGACAACACAATATGTGAACTTCTTATGCACAAAGATTGCTTTGATTAAAGTTTAAATCGCTTTTTAGCATTTTCTGGTCAGAAGCTGAGGACCTCCAAACTACCAGCCTGTTATATCGATAGTATGGAATATTTGAGAAAAGTATTGCTGGTCACTGTTTTCGGTAAGTTGATAATTTAACTCCTTAAAGATTTTTAGAGGTACAATTAAGACATGTAGGAGATATAAAGTACCAGTTGACTGAATCAGGCATCCTTCCTCATGAATTAGTGAGGCCATGGTTTATAACTAATGAATTGTCAAAATTTACCACACACGTGGCTCACTGAGCAAGAAATATATACATGTTTTTTTTGGAAATTTGGCTATTTCTGCTGGTTGGTCCCCGTAGTTGCTTAGCAACAAAACTGCAACGAAACAAATTTGGTGTAGTTGTTTTTGTAGTTAAGCTTATTCAGACATTCAAATAGTGGGGTGTGGTGCAAAGTCAGAAAGCGGGAGAAAAAAATTGGGAGGAAGAGAGGAGGGAATCGCTGTAGGATCAGTCGTAAAGGGTTGTTTCCCCCCAACTTTGTCAGCTTGTAAAGTAAAATAATCCAAATATCAATGATGCAGACATAGCCTTCCCCTCAGGCAACATGATTTCCCCTGAATAAAAGGATTACATGGAAATCATTGTGATTCTTAAATTTTCATGCAGAATGCAGAGAAAAGACCTTAACCGTCAAAGTTTCTAGAATTGTGGCATTTTGGCTTTTTATTAGGATTGACCCTGCTAAAAGGAGTGCGGAATTCTCCAGGATCAATTTTAGCAGAAAATTCCTGGCTTTACAGGATTTCATTTTGCACGTGCGGAAAAGCTAAGAAAAAGATGGGAAAATCCAGGAGTGTCCATGCTCCCCTGGCTTTCCAGGAATTCGTGGAAAAGCCCGGAAAGCCAGGAGACAATTTTCCACACTACTAGCTAGTTTCCAGGCTTTTCCTTAAGTGCAAAAAAGCTTTGACCTTCTGACTCTGATCTGGCACTCTTGACTCCTCCTTGATTCCAGGGTTACCTGGAAAAGCCAAAAAAAATAATATTCCATGCTTTCTGGGCTTTTCCCGTTCAAAAAGGCTTGGTGCTCCTGCAGACGTAAGTAGCAGTGCAGTAGTTTGACAGCCTTCTAAGTGTTCTCAGAGATTTATGCCCTTGATCGGCACAAAGGAGAATCTCGAGTTCTCTAGTTGACTTCCTTTTTTTCTGACAGCCTTGTTCCACTTGGTTGCAAGCTGTGTTTGCGGAGATGAAACCATCACTGGAGGCAATGTACAGTGTAAAATTCTTGGTCAATCAGGAAAAATAAGGTTGGTCTACATTGGCAATGACACTGAAGGTAACTTCAGTGACTCCAATGACAATCAACTGACATTTGAGGTGGACTCGATATATGAGCGTGATGCACAAGGCAATGAAGTTGGTAAAACCGGTCCCAAGAAGCATTCCCTGAACAGCCTAGCAAGCCAGGAATTTAACTTTACAAAGGTCGACAACGTTTCATATTATCAAGGCATCAAGGTCATAAATGTCAATCTGACAGCCTACTTGGATGGGCCACAGGCCACCCTTGATGTCATGGTGTTCCTGTTCCTTGAAGATGGCAATGTCACTTTTGGCAATGAATCATTTGCAGTATTCAAGGGAACCTTGAAGTTTAACATTAAGGTTTGCTCTAGTCAGTGTTGTTACTATTTTATTAATTCAATAAATGTTTGAATTAGTGTTTAAATGTACCTGGCTCCTTTCCAAATGTATATTAGCTAGATGCATGAATATGGTGTCAATATACAGTATCTAGAGAATATTTACCCATTTGAGAACTGCACACTCTCAGATGTTGATTGCAGCTTCACTGTACTGTGCTGACAGTAGTGATTGAGGGTAGTTCAAGTAATTCAGTTACAATTCTCCCAGCGTCTCTCCTCTACTGATCAGAGCTGGTATGACTGGCACTCTGAATGGAAAAGAGCCGACTGTTCTTACAAGCACATTTCCTCCAATCCTGCCCCTTCCCCCTTAAATTGCCTGCCATACAGGCCATTCATTCTCTTTCCTGCAATCTTAGCACTTGGCTGTTTGGTTTATTGATTAAAAACCTTTATGAAAAACCTTTATCAAAAAAAAGAACCTCAATATAACGAAACCTCGGTATAGCGAACACAGTTTGTCAGTCCCTTGGCTCTTCGCTACGTCCAGGTTCCACTGTAACCTTTATACAAACGCTTGTCTATAAAATAAACAAGTGAATTTGGGTAATACCCTCGATGGTATATGTATATACTCTCGAGGGTAACAAATAAAAATACTTCTCTTTTCTTTAGATTAAAGATTGGGAATTCTGTGATCCAGGACTTTCAAACTGCCGAAAAGGCCAAACAAATGAAGAAGGTGCTTTTATTGACATTACACTTGCGGTCAAAAGCAGGGGAACACCCACAAAATTGTCCAAAGAAGACCGCGACAAGTCTAAAAAGAAGCCTGTCTGTTACAAGGATATGGACTGTCCTGAGACTTATGACATGGGTGGAGGGTCAGAGGTGCTGATTAACAAGGAGGTAAAGTTAGCCTGTTCTCACCAATGAAAAAAAAACAAAACGCTTGATTCTCGTCGTTGTACATGCCCTTTGAGCTCATGATATTTCTTTTCACTTCTTTCAGATTCTCTTAGATGACGACCCAGTAGATATGCCAAATCCTTTCCCTAAATATGAGACCCAAGGTAGCAAGAAGCTCTTTATCTTCCGCATTCCTAGGTTTAACAACACGGTTTTGATTGACCCTACAGCCAACATGGATGGAGTAGCGGGCGAGCCCACCATTGGCGGAGACGGTGGTGGTAATGGTGATGGAGGTAATGGCAGTGGAGGTAATGGCGGTGGAGGTAATGGCGGTGGAGATGGTGGCGAGAGTACCACGGGTCCACCAAATGGCAGTGCCCCGATGCTCTTGTTAAACGTCTTCGCGTTGGTTTTTCCTCTCCTTGCAGCTATTGCGTTATTTGTTTTCTAAGCCAAAAAAGTTGAGTCAAAGGCTAACTGCATGCAAGTGGCTTATACATGAGCTGATTTAGGGGTGGTCCGAGGGGGAGCCTTCCTCGTTTTTCTGTGCATTTTTTAATTATTTTTAAAGTGGAATTCTCAGCAAGTAAGCCGGTAGCATCTCTATAACTGACAAGTGACCCTTTATAAATTTTCAGGATTCGTCGCTGATAAACACAACAGATCACCAGTTCGAGTTGCCTTAAGCTTCTTTTTTGAAGCGAGTTTTGGTTTGCAACTACACTTTGAAAAAGAGATTTAGGTCATTCAGAGATGGACTATTCTTGTTATGTTAATCAGCGGTTAATATAGCATAACGTTAGTATAGTGCTCTATAACCTCAGTCTAACTGCAGCTGCAGTGACTCGAAGGTTTAGAGAATTACCAATGCGTAAATAAAGGCGCTTAATCAAACCATGATCTTTGAGTGCGGTAAGTATTTTGAAATAATTGGGTGACTCTGGAGATTAAGTCTTCCCTCCCTCAGCCTACGTTACATAAGAAGTATGAAGGCTGCCTGCCTATATGGACGCTTTGCGATACGCTATATGCTATATTAAGCTTCCGTATAATAAACGATTTAAATAAATAAAAATTACACGATTTTTAGGCAGCACATCCACATAGTGGTTCTGATCGCCTATCATTGCTAGTCGAGTTGGAATTTGGAAATATTGGTTGTTGAAGAGAGGAAAACCAGGGTACCGGGAGAAAAACCTCTCGGAGCAAATTAAAGGAGAGAACCAACAACAAACTCAACCCACATATGCTGTCGACGCCGGGGTTTGAACCCGGGCCATTCGTGGGAGGCTTGCACTTTCATCACTGCGCGCCACCCTCGCTCCCACATAAGTCACAAAAACGCCTTTCATCCTAAGAGCCTGTGCCGGGAACTGACCTTTGTTTGTTCTTCATTATTTTCGTGTTTTGTTTACCTGGAAATTGGTAGTCTAACGTCATACGTTAGATTTGGTGAAGCAAGGAGAGTTCGTCTTAGTGTTACATTCGGTATTTCCTGAATTAAACGATTAAAACGCCGCGGCGTTCATGAAGTTTTCGTCTTATCAGAAATAGGCCTTATTTATTCGAGGGCCACGCTTTTCGGGGGCTGCGCTTAAACGCAGTGAACCGTACGTAATCCGTCATTGTCTTTTTTCGTTTTGTTCATCAACGATTAGAAAGTGACACAAGTTAGATTTAAAGACGGATAGTTTTTTTTCCTTTTATGCGTTCAACGTTGGGAGAACGCTACCTAAACTCGACGCGCGAGAAGCCTGGATACGAGCATTTAGCAAAAAGCAGAAAAAGGAACTCGATTTGGTGTTTGGGTCAAAGTACCGGTTACGGACCCTTGGACCCTTGCGCTTCGTCAGCTGTCACTCGCGTTTCGCGCTCGCCTCTGCGCGAAAGACGAACCGCCTGCGGAGGGGGCAGTGACCATATAATACTGACTTCACTGAATCATACTAACTTCCCCACTTTGATGACATTCATCCGAGCACTGCGATTTCAAAGGTAAACATTCAAACGCACTAACCAATCTTCGATTAAAAACCCTTGAATGCAGAGGTCAACTCAACGCGTAAATAAAACCGACTGGTTCTTTCTTGCCGGATCTCTGATGTAGACTGATGCTAATGCCAGAAGTCACTTGAAGTGGGAATTAAAGGTCGAGAGGGTTCAATAGTGTGTCCTAAGTATTTATATACCCAGCGCTGCACTATCAAGAGGCTGGCTCTTGATATCTCCTGCGACAAGGTTCACCATAGATGAACTGTACGCATGAAGAGGAGAAGACGGAGAAACTTTGCGCCAAACCTTTCGGCAAGCTAATTAAAAACCTGTTTCGAAAAGACGCGCTTTTTGGCAATATCGTAAAATTCCGAAAATAAGCCCCTCATGTATAAGCCCTCCAAACTCGTAACACAAAAAACCCTCCGTTAAATCGCCCCTCCAAATATAAGCCGCCCGGGGGCTTGTACTTGGACATTGCTCTCAGACAAATGCAAAGTAAAACAAAGCAAAAACTGTAAATTTCCTTCCAACTATAAGGCTGGTCCAATCGATTTTGAAACGCAAATTTCCCTCCGTAGATAAGCCCCTCCGAATATAAGCCCCTCCAAAAATAAGCCCCTCAAAAAGGGCCTTTGAAAAATATAAGCCCCGGGGCTTATTTTCGGAATTTTACGGTATCATTTGAACTTATTAAACGTTACACACACAAAAAAAGAAGACTCGCTGTTTTAATATTATGTCAACAGAGAAAAGAAAAATCTAATGGAGATCCACTTTCAACACACCATTTTTTCTAGGGGATGTTACCAAACTAGTTTCGTCTTCGTATGACCTCTTCAGTTGTACGCCACCCGATTATCAAGTAGGTAGGTATAAAGGGGTACCATTTTTCAATAGACGGTATTCGAAAGGGATTACTTTTCTGTCAATGGTATAAAAGGTTAGGAGTTGGACCTCGAGGCGGAACCCCCCTGTATAAAACTTTGTTGAGTAGCCCCGCTCCTCCTCTGGGACTGGTTGGGAAAGCAAACCTGTTACAATAATATCCCGCATTAAATGGCCATAAATCGGCTCCGGAACCACACAGGAAAGAAGAAACACACAACCCCGCACGCAACTTAAGCGAGGTTAGCCGATTTTTGTTTAAATCCATTCAGTTCACAATCGAAGGGTACAGAAATAATCGTTTTACACATTCAAATCCTTATATTTCGAACGTTACGCAGCAGTGCCGATGGTCATATTTCGAGCTTGGACCACCTGTGTTAACATCGGCGCTACTAATGCCTGAATGCATTGCCAATATCACAGACCCGGTTTTGCGGTTATTTTGTAAGTGCTTACTTTTTTACTGACAAGACAACCAATATAATATCCAAGGCTTTCAAAAGAATCATATCTCCACCGTGTGGACTAAACTAAACCCAGGTCGAAACACTGTCTCTTAAATTACTTTTATGTTTTGAAGTGGAAGGAGGTTAAATTAATTTTGACTCTTTATATAGCTACAATAGCAATTGACAGTAAGCTTGTTATGCACAGGAGAGTAAGAGAGGTCCAGTAATGTTTATGTTCACATATCCGTGAACGGAAAAATAGAGATACTACCAACAAAATGGTGAAGTCATAAGTAACGGGACATGAAAATATTAAGCCCCTTTTCTGGAGTCCGAAATAGTGATATTTATTTCGGATCAAAATTTAGGTTTCTGGAGAAACTACCCACCTACCCCTCCCGTAAGCTAACATTAACACTTACTTCTTAACTAGGGCAAAATGTTAGCTTAGGGGAGGGGTAGGTGGCAGTTTTTTTTTTCATCGTGGTCATTCGTGGAGGACTACTGCCCTAAGGCCCTGTGCAGAACTAAGAAAATGGTTTTCATGTGCAAGGTAGCCTCCCAAGCTTGTAACGAAGCCCAGAGAACGACTGCTTTCGGCTATTAAACTGTGCTTTCAACCCGATTATCTGCTTCACATTTAGTAGCAATTACTTGCTTGGTCATAAAAGACTCTTGAACAGGTCTACTGATTTACAGCAGTAAGTTTAAAAAATATATGCTTGTCAATGAATAAGTTATATGTTCATTTTTCTGTCTGCCATGACTACAAAGAGCAGAGTTACTTGCTGGATCATATGCGAAAGGCAAGTGAAACTTGGAATAAATTTATAGACTCAAAAGAATAAAATGACTCAATAAAGTACAAGCAAAGTTATCTCTTCTTGTTTTCTGTCTTTTTTGCAGTCTACACGATCTGACTTGACAGTGTCGCGATAAAAGAGACTTTAAATACGAAGGACAGAAGCGCTACTGGTCTCAGCTTGATGCAATACTTACACTGGGTAAAAAAAAAATCAGTCTACTCGTTCCATTGTTCCAAAGACAAAGGGCGCTTTCCATTCAATCAAAACATTCCAAAATTTGGAAACAGTGGCAAATGATACAGAAATTTCCCGGAAAAGTTTCCATAAATTCCGGAACTGTTGAATATCCGAAATACGAACCATTCAACCGACTATTCTAGAAATTCCGGGAGCAAAGTTGAATGGCGGAAAGAAAACTTCCGGGAAAACGTTTTCGAAAAGTTGTTTCTTTTCAACACTCGAAGACAAATTTCGTTTCTCCGCGCGGCCAAGTAATATCCTCTATATATGACATACATATCATACATTACGATCAAACTCTGCTTTCATTAAGTTTTGGAAATAACCCTTAATTTTGGGAGACGGTTTCTCAATTAGCATCCAAGAAACCAAGCAAAAGGGTCGTTGTTTATTGCGAGGCTAGTTTCAAAACTCATTTTTCGATCTAAAAGCGTACTCCTTCAAAATAAATAAACAAACGATATATATCCAAATAGAAGAAAGGCCAAATTAAACAGTCTCAACTGAAGATATTTTAAGAAGAGGCCGATTCGTGTGTACTAAAATTAAAGAGGAGCTGCTAATTTCAAGAGTAGACAAGAACGGGTGTTTATAAAATGATTACCGGATACCGGGGAATGGTGGATTCAAAGATGCGGAAAGAAACATATGTAGATGACTAAAAAATCTTAACTAAGAAGAATATATAAACTGCCGAAAAATGCGGATGGAAAAAAACAACCAAAACAAAGATGTAAGGTTTATGTTGTATGTTACAGAAGCAGCTTTATTATGGTACTACGATATTTGAATTGTGATAATAAATAGTGGGATTGGATATTTGGACCTAAAACGTACACGATAACATCAATCCGCTCATTTTAAACATGACAAGGATTGTGTAGCTGACCCCGCTGAATCATTATGGGACTGCGGTGTCAATTATGACAAGATAGCAAAATAACAGTTTTTCTTTGGGTTTTTACTATGGCACCGTCCACACGTATCCAGATACCTTTGAAAACAGAGATTATTTTCCATTGTTTTTTAAAAAATACGCCTTCACACGTAGCGTAATCAAATCGTTTTCGCCCGTCCATACGAAAACGGTAAACAATAGAAATACGATAGCATTCCTCACAGAGCGTGCGTCATGCCAGAAGTTAATGGGGGATGACATTATCGTTCTCGAAAACTTCCGTTTTCGTCCGTCCACACGTAAACGAGTGGCCAGCGTTTTCAAAGATCTTCACTCACTCTGGAGAGCGTTTTTGAAAAGATGCGTTTTCGGTGACGTTTTCTCCGGATACGTGAGTACGGTAGGCCAGACCCGCCGGACAAAAAATCTCCGTTTTCAAACAAAAATGGATTCGTGTGGACGGGAGTAGTCATTCTTCAGCAAAATTAACCCCGTTGGTGCCTTCCCCTGCCTTCCGTACGCCTTCCCTTTATTAATATGTATAAGTGTCATTGTTTTTAATAAAGTTTTTAAAACGGTACCTCTCTTCTGGTTTTTAATTGCTAGCAATTATTAGTCGCGCGTTTTAATTGATCCTTGTCAAGTTATTTAAAATTGTTTATATAATAGTACGTCAAGGTACTCCCTTGCGTCTTTCCTGTAGAGTTAATTTGTATTCAACTTTGGGCTTGGGAACTCGCATAAATAATTAACTGACTAACGGTGCGTGAAACGCTGAGACTGTAATAGTTTTTCATTTCCTTGAGATAGATAGGAGAAAACGTCAGACAAAATTGCAATAGAGAGTTTTCAGTTCTACTTTGTGTATGTGTCTTGTTTATATATATCCGAGTTTACCGCTAAATAAGATATAGTAAGCGGTTTCTCGCGTTGCTAGGTGATCGCTTCTCTTATTCCTATTTGCCTTTTAACAGACGTTCAAACCAGGCTCAAGTTACTTAACGGGCAAGCCTAGGCAAATCTATTGTTCCTATTGTGTTCTTCCAAAAGAAAAGAAACGACTACCCAGTTCATTATATATGGAGGAAGGCACTTAATAAGATATGGAGGAAGGCACTAAATTAGTATGCAGGAAGACACATACATATTAATAAAGGGAAGGCATACGGAAGGCAAGGAAAAGCAACTGACGAGGCCTATGTCACATTAATTTCACTCAAACATCCTATACCTTATAAACACTTTTTTACACGTATTTAGGGAGAATAAACTCTTATCTTACAGTTTGGTGAAATATCCCCGTAATGCTGGATGAAAGCGTTTAAATAAGAACTTGATAAACTAAGCAAAAGTGCCGTTGTTTATTGCGAGGTTAGTCTCAAAACAATTTTTTGATCTACAAGCGAGCGTCTTCAAAACAAATAAATAATATTTTTTATATAACCACTAATGAAATACCAGGTGAGCTCTCGCGCCAAAACATGATATCTTTACGCGTCAGAACACGTTATCTTCACTTGACTATGAAAAGATCACTGTTGCTATGGCTACATAAAAATCGCGCCTTTCACTGCAAAAATGATGCCCTCACACGTAAGATATTTTTCAACTTCGTATCTCCGCGCGGCCATGTAGTATCCTCTATGTGCAACTGGCTAAACTAAATAGTCTCAGTTGGAGACATTTTAAGGAAGAGTCTATAATACATTTTCATCCAGTTTGTCTGATGAAGCTATGGTAATCGTTTTTCCACATCTTTTTTTAATAATAGCGACATAATAGGTCAAACCTAGGAGGTATAAGTCCTGATAATCCAATCTGGCCACTTTAAACTAATCAAAAAAGGTAAAGTTGCATGCTCATAAGAATAAGAGGAAAAACGAATTTATTTTTGTAAAACGGAGAAGACGAATCTGGTAAATTTAATTCTAGGAATGAATGTACCGAAAAACGTAAAATATCTCTTAGAGCTTATAATTTTTGTTTACTTTTCTAAAAAACCTTTTTAGACAATAAATAATATTTCAGCTGTTAAATTTTGACTTCCGTTGTTTCAATTCTTAATTGTGTGGTTGGTGAACCTTTTAACTAAAGATGACAATGAACACAGAGTTTGATAGTTTGCATATTGATTGGAGAGTCATCCCATGGCCCAAAAAGTCTACTAAAAGTTACAAAAAGAAGTTGAATTTAATTCAAGCTGCAAGTTTTATTTTTCAGACAAAAAATAATCTATGTCCTATGCTAAGTTTTGACTACCTGCATGTCTGAATGCTAAATTGATCCTATTACTAAAGGTAAAATTCAACAAACCTGTTGAAAATTTACTCTAAGCACGTGTTGGCTTTCAGATATTCTTTGCATCGGTTTCTTGGCCAAAAAAAGGAATTCTTATTGGCTTTACATGATACATCCGCTCCCTTTAGAAAGGGCTGTACAGCTGTGCAAAGGCTTCGCAGGGGGGCTTTCAATGGCCAATAAACAAGAAAAGAAGCAGGATACGCCAAGCTATGGAGTAGTTTTTATTTAAACCTACTAAACTGCATGAGTACAGTTTAGACCCCTTTCGGTTGTGAGGGCATGCTGGGTAATCAGAACCTACTAAACTGTATGTGTACAATTTAGTGTATAATTCGGACAGCTAAGCATGAACTCAACGGCGAACGCGTCAAGCGAGTTTTGGAAGTGCTCCACTTTAGTTAATTCCAAAGCTTTTAAAATTGGAGGAACCGTTGCCTTCTGTCTGATCCTTCTTGTTTCAATTGCCGGAAATTCTCTCATTGTAATGCTCGTTTATAAAACGCCAAACTTAAGAAAACCCATAAATTATTTCATCGCAAACATGGCCTCGTCCGATTTGCTGTTTATACTTTTCACTTGCCCTTGGTTCATCGCAAGGTTGTACACATCACGGATTATCGGTGGCCAGTTTGGCCAGGCTTTCTGTAAGCTTAACACCTTCTTTCTAAACGTTTCTGCAATCGTCTAGATTCAAAATCTGATTCTGATAGCGGTGGATCGCTTTGGAGCCGTGGTATTTACACTCCGTTTCCCACTCATCAGATCCAAGTTGTGCCCCTTCTTTATTCCCGCGACCTGGATAGTTGCAGTAGCTGTCAGTTCGCCATTCTTCTTTGCTGCCAAACTGGTTGAAAACTCAGGAAGAATGCAGTGTGATCCAAACGCCGGATGGAAGGAAGCATTCGGGGAGTCCTTGTCCTATCCAGAGTTTAAACTAGTGATCTATATGTTGTTTATCTACATCCCTGTCCTGTTGTTAGTCATTCTTTACTCCTTCATCTTTATCAAACTCAAGGCACAGGCACACCCAGGTGAACATTCGTCCAACATTGAACAACAACGACAAAGAAGAAACAGAAACGTGCTTCATATGTCCATTGCTATCATTTCAGTGTTTGTGTTTTGCTGGTTACCATTCATTACAAATGTTTTAATCGATAATTATCGGAGCAGTTTCATGTATTTTTCCTGTAGTTTCTGGCTATACTTTCATGTCACCTCTTATGTAGCTGCCGCTAACTGCGCCTTCAACCCGATTATCTGCTTCACTTTTAGTAGAAATTACCGGCTTGGTCTTAAAAGCCTCATAAACAGTTCTTCTGGTGTACAGCAGTAAGTTTAAAAATATCAGCGCTTGTGATTAAGTAGTATGAGCTGAATATGTTCATTGTTTATCTGCCGTAACGACAAGAATAGTGACTTGGTGTGTCTCAATGGTGTAACATAAGATTTTGTAACCCAAGTAAAACTTAGAATAAATGTATAGACTCAAAGGAATAAAATGGCTCAATAAATGACAAGCAATTTTATCTTAAGTGGTCTTGTTTTCTGGGTTTTGTTTGTAAATTTAGGCGCGATTTAACCAGTTTTACTGACACGATGGCAGCGGAAGAAATTTGTGAACAAACGAATACTTATTGGTTATATATTATTGGTTGTTGGTTACTGATATGCCAGCCTTATAACGCCAAAAAGACTTCATATAATCAGTTAAATATAAAACCAGTCAAACTTCGCTGAATGATTTCATTATAAGGTTTGAGTTTGGAAGATTCAGTGTTAAGTATGAAAAACATGGCAATATAACACTAGTCTTTGGTTTTTCTAATATCAAATTACTATGACTCAAACATTCTGTTGCTTTTAAACATTTTTTACACATATTTGGTACGAATAAACAGCTTCGTTTCATTCAGGTTTCGAAATATCCCCTTAATGCTGGGTGACAGAGTTTCAATTACCATTCGAGAAACCAAGTACATTAGTAGTGTGGTTGTTTATTGCGAGGCTAGTTTCAAAAACTCATTTGTCGATCTAAAAGTAAGCGCCTTCAAAATAACTAAATAGACAAGAAATATCCAAATAGAAGAAAGTCTAAATGAAACAGTCTCAGCTGAAAATATATTTAAAGAAGAGACCAATTAAAATGAGCACAAAAACTAAAGAGGAGGTGCCAATTTTATTAGAGCAGTGCAGCTGACTTCGCTGAATGATTTTATCAGGTTAAAGACGTCACTGTCAAAGCATGGAAAATATAGGAAGATCACTCTTTTTCTTTTGGATTTTACTGTATCAGGTTAATTTCACTCAAAATTCCTGTTACTTATACAGACTTTTTTTCAGCACTGTCGCAATAAACGATCAATGATTACTCCTGAAGCCTGAACTCCTGTGATTAGTAATAGACTTTTTTTCAGACATATTTTGCAAGAATTAACTCTTATCTTACAAATTTTTCGAAATATCCCCATAATACTGGATGACAGCGTTTACATATTAGCAGAAGTTCCGTTTTTTATCGCGATGGTAATTTCAAAGGCAGGATTTTGAGCTCGATAAGCTCCAAAATCATACTAACGAGTAAAAAAGGAGGAGAAGAGGAAAGAGAGAGGAGGGGGAAAAGGAGGTGAAGAGAGACAGCAATGGTCTCACCCTTAGTTTTTATGATGACTGAAAACAACTGTTAGACAGAAAAGATTCATTTGGCGGTAACGTTTTCAATAATCCGGATAGATATGCAAATAGACCCCTTTCGGTTGTGAGGGCATGCTGGGTAATCAGGACAGGATGGTGGGGAATCGGCAGAAGTTTGTATGGAAATTCAGAGTCAACTAATTCTTCCTACTTGAATATATTCGTTACTTTCTTCTTGCAAACTTTAACTAATGACCGTAAAGAAACGATACACTAAATGTGGAGTGCACAGCAGTCCTTTAACGGTTTTTACAAAATTTGACATCTTCCATACATTTTCTGTAATTTTTATGTTGTCAGCAAATGTATGGAAGGACTCAGGTTTTTCAAAAAGCAACAAAGGACTGCTATGTACTCCAGGTTTAGTGAGTAGCTTCTTTAATCTCATTTGTTACATTTTTTCAAACGGAGAGAGACAAATGTTTTCAATTACCAAACTTCTGATTTTTCCACCATCTTGTCCTGATCACCCATTATGCCATCGCACCCGTAAAGGGGTTTATAGACGAAAAGCTTAAGTAAAAAGTTTCAGATGAAGACATTTTAAAATTAACCCTCGGATGTACAAGGGAGGGAGGGTGGATGCCACCCCTGTAAAGTTTTTCTGAGTTTTTTCTTAGAGGGTTAAACATCAGATCAGCACCTGACGTTTTCAGTAGCTGTACATTTTTCCCTCACGCGCACTTTGAGACAAGTTCCATAGTTCCACTATACGCAAACACTGGCTAACAAAGGTTATAATCACCGGCATACATTAGTAAATTACACCACTGTAATTAAATACAACAAGGGTACTTCTACTCACCTGTTGCCTGGCCACATAGCCTGCGGCCAGGCTCCTTGATGGGGAAAAAAGCTAGCAGATAAAGGAGTGAACTTCGCAAAAAATCGAAGAGCGGTGAAGGTTGGCCTATTTTGTGCCTGCATTCTTAGCTGGCTATTGAGCATTCGCAGGCCTCAGGCATAAATGCCAGACTCCAGATTTCATTAGAAATAAGCCGAGCTCTATCTTAGTCGTGGCTCTAGTGAAGCTGCCAAAGGGTTTCTTTTAAGATTATCAAGATATTACTATATTTCTAAGTATAAAAATGTCATCCCAAAATACCTCGAAAACGCACCCATAGATTTTGCTCAAACTTCACGAACACCGAGGCAGATATTGGACGAACAAGCTTGCGTGAGCCATTGCAAAAAGAAATCCCAGTACCGAGAAATACCGTCAGCAAGTGAAAAAGAAAATGCCGTCATTTCGTTGCTATGAAGACTCTGCTGTCAGCATAACATCGGCTCATACTAAATTTTCATCTTTGTCTGATAAAGCTGTGGTAATCTTTTTTCCACATTTTTGTTCAATAGTAGCCACATTGTTAATTCTCAAACTTGGGATGTATCCAAACGAGCCACCTTAAAAGAACCTTTTCATAGAATAGATCAAAAAAGGCAAAGTTGTGCTTCAGTGCCCAAATCAAAAGGATAAGAAATCAGAGGAAAAACAAGTTTGGGAAACAGAGTAGAAGAATTTGGTTATTTCTAGGAATGAATGTACAGAAAAACTTCAAATATGTAGCTAGAGCTTATAAGTTTTGTTTACTTTTCGGAACGTAATCCCCCTCACACTTTTCTTAAAAAAACTTATATAAACGACAGAAATTAATTTTAAGCCGCAGAGTGCTATTTTTCAGACAATAAATAACATTTCGCCTCTTAAATTTTGACCTCCATTGTTTGAATTCTTAATTGTATGGTTAATGAGTCTTTTACATGACACTGAACAAAGAGTTTGTTAGTTTTGCATATTTGTTGCATGTCTGAATCCTAAATTGACCCTATCACTTAAGATAAGATTCAACACACCTGTTTAAAATTTACTCTAAGCACGTATTGGTTTTCGGATATCCTTTGCATCCCTTTCTGGACACTTGACCAAAAAAAGGATTTCTTGCTGGCTTTTTATTACAATGCAGTGAGTGCCTTATGGTTGACAACATACACAATACATAATACCCGCTCAATTTAGAAAGGGCTGTGCAGCTGTGCTAAAGCTTCGCAGGGGGGCTTTCAATGGCCAATAAACAAGAAAAAAACCAGGATACGCAAACTACGGAGCAGTTTTTATTTGAGCCTACTAAACTGCATGTGTGCAATCAGTAGTAGTGTATAATTCGGAAAGCTAAGCATGAACTCGACGGCGAACGCATCAAGCGAGCTTGGGAAGTGCTCCATTTTGTTTAGTTCCAAAGCTTTTAATATCGGAGGAGTCGTTGCCTTGTGTCTGATCCTTCTTGTTACACTGGCCGGAAATTCTCTCATTGTAATGCTCGTTTATAAAACGCCAAACTTAAGAAAACCCATAAATTATTTCATCGCAAACATGGCCTCGTCCGATTTGCTGTGTATACTATCCATGTGCCATTGGATCCTCGCAAGGTTGAACATATCGTGGATTATCGGTAGCCAGTTTGGCAAGGCTTTCTGTAAGCTTATCAGTTTCTTACCAACAGTTTCCTCATTCGTTTCGATTCAAAATCTGATTCTGATAGCGGTGGATCGATTTGGAGCCGTGGTATTTCCACTCCGTTCCCCACTCATCAGATCCAAGTTGTGCCCCTTCTTTATTCTCGCGACCTGGGTAGTTGCAGTAGCTGTCAGTTCGCCATACGTCTTTGCTGCCAAACTGGTTGAAAACTCAGGAAGAAAGCAGTGTGATCGAAACGCCGGATGGAAGGAAGCATTCGGGGAGTTCTCGTCCTATCAAGACTTCTTAGTAGTGATCTATATGTTGTTTATCTACATCCCTGTCCTGTTGTTAGTCATTCTTTACTCCTTCATCTTTATCAAACTCAAGGCACAGGCACACCCAGGTGAACATTCGTCCAACATTGAACAACAACGACAAAGAAGAAACAGAAACGTGCTTCATATGTCTATTGCTATCATTTCAGTGTTTGTGTTTTGCTGGTTACCATTCATTACAAATATTTTAATCGTTAATTATCGGAGCAGTTTCTTATATTTTCCTGTAGTTTCTGGCTTTACTATCATGTCACCTCTTATGTAGCTGCCGCTAACTGCGCTTTCAACCCGATTATCTGCTTCGCTTTCAGTAGCAATTACCGGTTTGGTCTTAAAAGACTCATAAACAATTCTACTGGTGTACAGCAGTAAGTTAAAAAAATATATGCTTGTCAGTGAATAAGTAATAGTTTCATTTTTTGTCTGCCATGACTACAAAGAGCAGAGTTACTTGGTGGCGGGATCAAGGGTGTAACATAAAAGTTTGAAAGGCAAGTGCACTGCGTGAAATAAGTAATTTAGCGGAATTTACAGGGCCTCGATATTCCATGGCACTTAGCAAATCGTATACCGACACGCGAGGTGTTATGAAACGCGGCGTTCCAGGGAGTGTCATGTCCCCGATACTTCTAACGTGAAAAATCAGGACAAAACGTGGCCCGGACATGTCTTCTGTGGTGTTTCAAGAAATATACGAGCTCTGATTCTTAACGATATTACTTAGCCAAAACTATGTCGACTTTCAACAGTGAGGTAAAATGGCATGAAAATTGAAATTTAGGAAAAATTAAACTTTACCCAATAAAAACACAACTAACGCGTTTACGCAAACTTTCCAAGGTATGCCGAGGTTGATAAAGATTTATGCACTTAGCTTGTCTTAAAGGTTGAATGAAGGGTAGTGTAAGGTTGCAACAACTTTACGCTCATTTACGTGAGATATTCGAAATAAAAATAGTTGAGTAACCGTGAGGTTACTCATACATTGCCACTCTGGTAGCAGGATCTGTTTTCTTCCTTGTTTTTGCCATGACCGAAGTAGTTTTCCCGCCGCTAACGATGAGAGTCGTTGGCTTTTTTTTTTGGAGATCGTTGAATTCTATTCGGGTGACTGGAAGGCATTGTTAAAATAAATGGCCTATCACTTACTCTTCACCGTGAGACGACTTATTTGACGCAGTGGTGAAAATGACTCAATAAAGTGCAAGCAATGTTATCTGGTCTTGTTTTCTGTCTTTTATTGTAAATTTTAGGCGCTATTTAATTGGTTGTACACGATCTGGCCTGACAATGTCGTAATAAAAAGAGAGAAAAATACGAAGGACAGAAGCACTAGTACTGATCTCAGCTTGATGCCATACTGCATACACTGAGGTACACTACACCTAACATTGAGTTAAAAAAGAATTATTACAAAAAATCATTGTACTTGTTACATTGTCCCAAAGACAAAGGGCGCTTTCCATTCAACCAAAACTTTCGAAAATTTGGAAACGGTAGCCTGCATAACAAGTGCTTCATGAGCCAATCGAGGCGAACAGAAAGCGCGTGTTATGCAGGCTAGGAAACAGCTGCAAATGGTACAGAAATTTCCCGGAAACGTGTCCATAAAATCCGGAAACTGTTGAATTTCCGAAATGTGAAACATTCAACCGACAATTCTAGATATTCCTGGAGCAAAGTTGAATGGAAAGAAAACATCCGGGAAAACCTTTATGAAAATTTGGGTATCCCCTCGCGAGGTTGTCCTCGATCCTTCTGGGAAATTTTAGAAAATGCTTTAAATTCCGTCAAGAGAGGATATCCTCTCCTGTTTTCCATTCACTACTGGAAGTTGCGGAAAATTCAAACTCGACTAGTTTGGTTTCATTATTCTCTTCAGCCTCCGATTCAAAATAAAGGCAAAAATCCCCGATAAACTAAATCATCTTGGCTTGTTCTTGGCAGCGGAAGAAATTTGTGAAGGAAAGATTATTTACCAAATTTTTTCGGCCTTGTATAACACCAGAAATGCTACATATAATCAGTTTAAGGTCAAAACAAGTCAAACTTCGCTGAATAATTTCATTAGGTTTGAGTTTTAACGTCAGTATTAAGTATGAAAAAGATAGCAAAATAACACTTTTTCTTTGAGTTTTTACTAGGTCACATTAATTTCACTTAAACACCCTGTGGCTTAATTAAGACACTTTCTTTTACGCATACATGTCATTCATTACTCTGCTCTTTCATTAAGTTTTGGAAATATTCCTTAATTTTGGGAGACGGTTTCTCAATTAGCATCCAAGAAACCAAGCAGAAGTGTCGTTGTTTATTGCGAGGCTAGTTTCAAAACTCATTTTTCGATCTAAAAGCGAGCGCCTTCAAAATAAATAAATAAACGATATCTATCCAAATAGAAGAAAGGCCAAATTAAACAGTCTCAGCTGGAGATATTTTAAGAAGAGGCCGATTCATGTGTTCTAAAATTAAAGAGGAGCTGCTAATTTCAAGAGTAGACAAGAACGGGTGTCTATAAAATGATTACCGGATACCGGGGAATGGTGGATTCAAAAATGCGGAAAGAAAAATATGCAGATGACTAAAAAATCTTAACTAAGAAGAATAAACTGCCGAAAAATGCGGATGGAAAAAAACGACTAAAACAAAGATGTAAGGTTTATGTTGTATGTTACAGAAGCAGCTTTATTATGGTCCCAAAATATTTGAATTGTGATATTAAATAGTGGGATTGGATATTTGGATCTAAAACGTACACGATACTTGAACATCAATCCGCTCATTTTAAAGATGACAAGGAATGTGTAGCTGACCCCTCTGAATGATTCCATAAGGTTATAGATGGGACTGCAGTGTCAAATATGAAAAGGTAGCAAAATAACAGTTTTTCTTTGGGTTTTTACCATGGTACCGTCAACACGTATCCGGTTATTTTTGACATTATTTTCCATCGTTTTCAAAAACAATACGCCTTCGCACGTAGCGTAATCGAATCTTTTTCGCCCGTCCATACGAAAACGCTAAACAATGGAAACACGATAGCATTCCTCACAGAGCATGCGTCATGCTAGAAGTAAATGATGGATGATATTATCGTTCTCGAAAACGTCTGTTTTCGTCCGTCCACTTGTAAACGAGTGGCCAGCGTTTTCAAAGATCTTCACTCTGGAGACCGTTTTCGAAAAGATGCGTTTTTGGTGACGTTTTCTCCGGATACGTGAGTCACCCGGTAGGCCAGACCCGCCGGAGAAACAACCTCCGTTTTCAAACAAAAATGGATTCGTGTGGACGGGAGTAGTCATGCTTCAGCAAAATTAACCCCGTTGTTGCCTTTCCCTGCCTCCCGTATGCCTTCCCTTGATTAATATGTTTAAGTGTCACTGTTTTTAATAAAGTTTTTAAAACGGTATCTCTCTTGTAGTTTTATTGCTAGCAAGATTAGTCGCGTGTTTTAATTGATCCTTGTTAAGTTATTTAAAACTGTTTATATAATAATACGTCAAGGTGCACCCTTGGGTCTCTCCTGTAGAGCTAATTTGTATTCAACTTTGGGCTTGCGAACTCGCATAATTAACTAACGGTGCGTGAAACGCTGAGACTGTAATAATTTTTCATTTCCTCTAGATAGATAGGAGAAAACGTCAGACAAAATTGAAATAGAGAGTTTTCAGTTCTACTTTGTGTAAATGTTTTGTTCATATATATCCGAGTTTAGCGCTAAGATATAGTAAGCCGTTTCTCGCGTTGCTAGGTGACAGAAACAAAATCTTCAGAAACGTGCCCTTCGCCTCATGTTTTTTGGTGATTATAAAGCTCACGCAGTACCCTTCTTCATTTCATCCAGTCTACTACCTCTAGGTCTTCTTTACTTCAAGTCAGTTGCCGTCTTAATGTATGACGTCTCAAATAACACATCGCCACCTCAAATAAGTAATTTATTTAATTACCAACATAATATTCATTCACATAACACAAGATCATCAACAAGAGGCAA